CTTGGACTTCAGTTTCCTTCCATGTAAGTTACTGTACCCACTTTACAGGTCTGCTATGGCAGGCTGGTAACCCATAAGATAGGGCCTCTACACTGGAAAAGGGCTGAGAAAGTAAGTGCTCTTCTTTGGAGCAGAACCGGTTCTTGGGTGGGGAACATCTCCTTGCTTTTCCTGGCCCAGCTCCAAGAAGAGGAGAGGAACACTTCTCCCTCACATACCCACATCAAGGAGGAAGAGTAAGTATCAGAGGCCTGGAGCTTTCCCCTCTACAGTTCTCCTTCGAAAGCCACCCCCAGTAGGTTGAGAGTACCTGTCTTCCGCAGCATTGCCTTGGAGTCGATTAGCAGGACCCAACCGAATCTTCTTTGCTCTAATCAGCTTTTTATGTTGAACTGTGGAAGACAAAATGCTAAATATCTCACCTGGCATAGTGGCGCCCGCCTTTAATCCTGGCACTCGGGAGGTAAAGGCAGGGGGATTTCTTTGAGTTTCAGGCCAACCAGGGTTACATAGGAAGACCCTGCCTAAAAAAGGGGATGGTATGGCACACACCTTTAATCCCAGCACTCAGTTGAAGAATAACCTTGTCTACATAGTGAGTTTTAGGACAGTTGTGGTACCAAGTCGCTTTCATTGTTGTCCCACCCCCCCCCCCACCGACCATCAATTCCCGGAGTCTGGGCTCTTCCTTTAGAACTACAGGAGGTCTAGGACGTCGTCTTTTTGCCAGACCAGTGCCCGAAAGCGGCAGCAACTGGTTCCAGGAAGTCCAGGAAGAAGGGAGGCGTTGGGCCCTACCAGGCTCCGGATCCCCGTGTGGAATCCGGGTTCTCGGCTTCGACCCTCAAAGATCCCAGGTCCAGGGTTCTCCTTGATCCTTACTCTCTCGCTCGCTCAGTGCCCCGTGCGTTTACCTTCGGGAGCCCCCAGCCGCTGCTGCGAGTACCTATTGCGACCCGGGAGGCGGGGCATCGCGGGGCAACCCTTCCGGAGCAACCAATCAGAATCCCCTAGCAACGCCGTGCCCTCCCTCTATGCCCCAGCGCCCAGCCTCCATAAGCTCCGCCCATTTAAAAGTAGCGTTCTGCGCGCTCCCGAGGCGCGACCCCGTGGGAATCGGCTCTGGGACCCTGTGCTCGGCTACGCAGCGGGAGTCTGGCAGCTGTCCTCCCCTGTGCTCCGACCCAGGGGGCGCGGGTGGTGGCCCGCAATACTTGCATTCACTAAGTGGCAGTGCAGTGAATTTCGCCCTACTGAGGGCGAAAGGGACAGCCCAGAAACCTGCCCTTAACTGCTCAAAAAAAAACCCAAAACTATAGTGAAGAGGCTAGGTAGGATTTCAGACCTTGAAAGGTTAGGAGACTGTCCCCTCCTCCATATGTCATCCAAGGGGTTCTTCAACCACCCACTCCCCAAATTCATTCATTCACACATTCAATTATTTATTGAACATATGCTGGTGCCAAATGCTATTTCTGGATGCCTTCACACTTATGGTAGTAATCATAACCGGCCCGTAACGGAATTTTCCACATCTCAGATAATGGCAAACTTCTCTATGCCACAGCCCAATGCTCAGTACATTTTTTATTTTTTATTTATTTATTTTTTTGGTTTTCTCTGTGTAGCTTTGGAGCCTATCCTGGCACTCGCTCTGGAGACCAGGCTGGCCTTGAACTCACAGAGATCCTCCTGCCTCTGCCTCCCGAGTGCTGGGATTAAAGGCATGCGCCACCAACGCCAGACTATGCTCAGTACATTCTACCCTCTCTTTTCCTCAGCCTTCACAAGCAATTCTCCAAAAATCCTGTGGTCTCAACTTTCAAACTTCACCCCTCACCTCACACTGCAAGGCTGGGCTCTGGATGATTCACAGAACCCCCAATGGCCTGCTTCCATCTAAGGTTACTTTCTCCACAGCAGCCAAGGCAAACCTTGAAAACCCAACTCTGTGGAGAGATGACTCAGTGATTAAGAACACTGGTTGCTTTTGCAGAGGACAGGGGTTCGGGTGTCTAGACTCACATGGTGGCTCACAACCATTCCTACTCCAGTTCCAGGGGATCTGACACTCTCTTCTGAACTCTGAGGCCACCAGGCACGCACATGGTGCATACATACATACATGCAGGCAAAACACTCATTCACATAAAATAACCTACAGAGAACCCAACCAACCCAGCCCTGGTCACTCCTCTCTCAAGCCTATGTTTGTCTACTCTCTTAGTTTGGAGAAATGGCTTTCCTAAACTGCACCCTCTACCTTTTGGCCCCATCTCCTGCTGTCACCTTCCTCATTGCCCTCCTTGGAGTTCTTCAAACACAGCAGCCCTCTGTTGGCCTTTGGACTAGCTCTCCTCTCTGCCTGGAATGCTGACACCCTCATTTCCCTTAATTATTTGTCCAAGTGAGGTCTATTCTACCATTCTATTCAAACCCCAAACTCCCCACCCTCAGAAACCCATGCTCTATTTCCCAGGGATCTTCACCTTGTAACATATTCACTCTAGATGATACTATTAACTGAAAAAAAGTTAGTTAACAACAACAATAACAAACATCCACCACACCCCACAAAAAAAAAATCCAGCGGTCAAAGCAGGGTGTAGGGTATGCTTCTTTTTCGTTATTGTGAGGTCAGGGAGGGAACCTCACAGCTAAGACCTAAATGTCAAGGAGCTCTGAGGCTAGTGGTGGGGGTAGGGTGAGAAGGAAGGGCCTTCTGGGTTTCAGAAACTGCAAAGCAGAGGTTGAGGTGGGAACCCACAAATTCTGGGCAGGCATTTGAATGCATTTGGGTTCAGGGCTTCTGGGAATCCCACCTTAGTGCTTTCTTGCAGTCTTCCCTGCAAGCCTTTGGATGGGCAAACTCCAGGTAGAGCCTTGGGACCACAAGTGGACTGCAGACCCGCACTGGCTTGTGATAGAAGCTGTAATGGCCACTTTCTAGAGGCAGAGATGGGGATGACCCATCTCTTGGTTGAGAAGCTTGGAAGGTTTTGTAGGAGTTTGCCCTAGGAAGTGCCTTATCCGATGGATTGCCTGGCTTGGCTCTGCCAGGTGAGGTGGGACTGGCTGGGTGGTAAGGGGGAACTTTTTGGGAAAAAAAAAGAACATCGAATTCTCCTTCGGTGGTGAGCTGGAGGCCTGTGCGTAGTCTAGGTTGGGATCGGGGTTCGAGGCCACCCTTCATCGACAAGTCCTGCAGCTCAGTCAGGTCCCCAACCAGAGGGCCTCAGTTTCCCTCCGATGTGCGTGCCGAGGCAACTTTGCAGATCCCAAGGCCTGGTGGGTACTGGGCGGGGAGAGGCCGGGGCGGTAACACGAGCCTCCCGGGCGGGGTCTCCCGACTCCCGCAGCCACGTTCGCGGCCCGGGCGGAGGTGTGGGTCCGGAGCAGGGGGCGATCGCATCACACCCGACGAACCAGGCTCGGGTTCTGGAGGTGAGTGCAGGCTCCGGGAGGAGGTGACCCGGAGGGCGTGGCTGTGGACGTGGCTGGAGAGCCCGGGAGGGATCCCGGGATCCAGACACCCGCAGGGCGGCCCCAGGGAAGAGGCCTCAATTCCAGGCTCTCGGCCCCTCGGTGGGGCCCACGAAGGGCTGTGGCTAGAACGGTCTTCCTCTATTCAGGGCCTGCTTCCTTCTCTTTGGAGCCCTTCTCTTCCCCTCTAGCATACTGGCTCCGATTTCATCACTCACTACTTGATTATTTATTTATTTAATTGTATTTGCTTACTGCGTGTCTCTCCTGCTGTGAAGTAGACTTCAGAAGGACAGGGACCTAGTTTTGCGCACTGATGTATTCCCACGAATTCAGCAAATCTGCACAGGGCTGATTATTGGAGGTTACTGGGCAATCAAGCTTAAGCTACCCTAGGCATCCTGCAAATGGGGACAGTGACAAATGAAACATGGCGGGGGTGGGGTGGGGTGGGGAACAAAAGGGACATAGTCAGAAATGGAGGACTGCTGGCCAGTTGACCTTAGAACAAACCACTTTGGGTACAACAGTGATCAGGAGAGGTTTCTGAGATACTGTGTTAACAAGTGCTACAAGGGAAAGCCTTGGCTGGCCCTTATCTGACCTACCTAGGGCCCATAGTTACAATGGAGAGACAGTGGGCCAAGACTCAGAGGGAAGTTCAGTTGCCCTGGGGGTGAGTGGGGCATTAAAACCGTGGCAGAGCTTCCTGCAGGAGGCTGCCCTTTCACTGGGCCTTAAAGTTACAACAGCATTTCTCACATTCTTTGAGAACTGTTTTGCAGGCTTCCTGGGAACCCTCTGTCTGTTCTGTGTGGTTAGATAAGAGGCCACTCTGCCCACTCTGTAGGCTCTTCTGATAAGTGTGTCACTAACAAGGCCCTACCTAGAATGCGTGAGAGCTGCTTCTCCTTCACTATGTCATCCTTGCTGGTGCAGCCGCCCTACAGGATTGGAACACCATAATTTGGTGGGTATGTCTTCAGTGCTCCCAGTGCCACTGGAGTTTACAGGGCAGGTCTCCTTTGACCCCTCACTGGCTGGCCCTTCCCTTGCTTCCATCTGACTCTGAAATCACAGGTTCTTTTTAAGGTGGGCTGGTCACCACTGAGAGGCTGGTAGGGGCCCAGGGAGACCATGGGATCCTGAGCATGGCTGCAGGCCTGCAGTCCCAGGACTGGGGAGGCAGAGGACAGTAGGATCAGCTCAAGAGCATCTTTGGATACATAGTGAGTTAGAAAGCAGCCTGGACTACATGAGACCCTGTTTTAAAACAAGCAAACAAACAAAAACCTCCCTGTCAATGTCCTGCCATTTTTTTTTTTTTTTTTTGAGACTGGGTTTCTCTGTGTAGCCTTTTGGAATTCAATCTATAGACCAGGCTGGCCTGGAACTCAGAGATCCACCTGCCTCTGCTTCCCAAGTGCTGGGATTAAAGGCGTGCACATAATGGCCTGGCTAAATGTCCTGCCATACTTATTCTTCTGACACAAGTATTGTCTTTTCTGTTACAGATTTGTGATATCCAGTGGTTTTTGTTTTTTGTTTTTGGTGACCCTTACATGACCTTTGAGATGACCAGCAAGGAAGACGAGTCAGTCTATCACAGATGAAGTCTGAGAGCTTCAGGGACACAGTTAATAGGAGCCACAGGATGAGGCTGCATGTCTTCTGAGCCTGGGTTCTTTCCTCCAGGTGCTACCATCTCTCTAGCTCAGTGTTCTTGTGGGAGCCATGAAGCTGAACAAGAGAAGTGTGGCCCACTATGCTCTGAGTGATTCTCCAGCGGACCACACTGGCTTCCTTCGTACTTGGGGAGGACCAGGGACCCCACCTACTCCCAGTGGTGCTGGCCGAAGATACTGGTTTGTTCTCAAGGGCAACCTGCTATTCTCTTTTGAAAGTAAAGAAAGTCGGGCCCCTCTGAGCCTGGTGGTACTGGAGGGCTGCACGGTAGAGCTGGCTGAGGCTCCTGTGCCTGAGGAATTTGCCTTTGCCATTCGCTTTGATGCCCCTGGAGTTCGCCCACACCTGCTGGCAGCAGATGGGCAAGTTGCCCAGGAGGCCTGGGTGAAGGCACTGTCCCGAGCCAGCTTTGGCTACATGCGACTTGTGGTACGAGAACTGGAGAGCCAGTTGCAGGATGCCCGTCAGAGCCTGGCCTTGCATCGCTGTGTGTTCCAGAAATCTGTTACTGGATGCAATAAGCCTCAGGCTCCTGACCGACGGGCTCCAGGCCCTGAGAATGGCCACCTTTTCCCCAGGGACCGAAACTCCAATGGTTCTGTGGAAGAAAGGGGGAGCAGGCCAGTAGGTCGGGATTTGACTGAGTGGGGGTTACAGGGTCCTGCCAGCCTCCTTCTAAGCAGGGGACAGAGCCCTGTGTCCCCTGAGACCTCCTGTTTCTCCACCTTGCATGACTGGTATGGGAAAGAGATCACGGAGCTGAGGCGAGGATGGCAGCAAAGGGCCAAGGGGAGCCAGCCAGAGAGCAAGCAACAGAGTAGGCCCTGAACTAGGGCCCTCTGAGCAGTGGCCCTGTCCTGCTGGTTGGGATGTCAGGGTCACTACTTCAAGAGTTAAATGTTTACTCATTTCCCAGATTGGTTGGTGTGTGTGTGTGTGTGTCCGTCCCTCCTGCTCTGTAGACTTTCTCTAACTTCCAGTCCTCCCCTCTGCCTGGAGTAAACTGAGGAATCATGACTTCCAACCTATTTTCTAAGGCCTAGAAAGGCCAGGTGGCTGATGGGAACATACCATAATGCAGGAAGAGGGCTGTGCTCCTCCACCCCTTCAGGACACTCTAGCCATAATTTCTAGCACATCAAGCCTTGGGCATCTAAATGCCAGAGGTGACAGCAGAAGTGGCTTGAGTACTGACATTGACATGGTTTGGGCAGGGCTCTCTGCAGGAGAGGGTCTTCAGGTGCTAAAGGGGGATTTCTCTCCCCTGCTACCTTGTCAATATATAATGCTGGACATTGCCCTGGGAAAGGGGGGCAGCCTTTATACAGGAGCAACCCTTCCTGATCTGTCCTCCATGGTCACTCCTGGGGACCCTGTCATCTATCGCTTGTTCCCAAGGCTTGTCTGCCAAGAATCCTTATGGCTACTTTCTCCTGTATCATGCCAAATATCATTTTTTATTATTCTAAGAGGCTGGATCTACAGAGTCAGAAGTCAGACTCATCTGTCCCCTTTATATAGGTGCAGTGTTAGTGACTGGGAAAATGCTGGGCTTGACAGAGCCATACCCCCTTCCCAAACAAAATCTGCCTCTTTCTGACCTCCCTTCTTTTTCTATCTGGGGCCTTGGGGCAGCTTGGCCAAAATCCATCCAGGCCTAAAGGCCAAATTTTGGCCTCCAAGAGACTGAGTTTCATGGTCTCCTTCCTTGGCCAGGGCCAGTTCCTGTGATGCCAACCATGTTTTTCAGGCCAAAGCCCTTGACTGTACACACAGGTACTACCCTTTTGCTAACTTTCTTGTTACAGTAGTTAGTGTTCATTCTTTAAATAGTTTGGTTTTGGAGACCAGGCCTCACTTTGTAGCCCATACAGGCCTGGTACGGATTCTTAGTTTTGCAAGTGCTGGGATTGTTTTTGTTGTTTTTTAGCAGGACCTGGTGGGAAGGCCTGCCAGCTCAGCCCCTTGTGCTAGGACATCTGGCTTCAGTTTTGTTTTGTTTTTCCTTATAATCAGAACAGAAAAGTTTGCAGGGTGTGGCGGCAAGGGAGGCAGAGGAGGATCAGGAATTCAAGGGCATCCTTGACTACACAGTGGTTTTTTGACTAGACTGGGCTACACTCGAGAGACTCTCAGAAAATTATTCATTTTGGTTATTAGAATCGGTGTTTACAAATGAAGAGTCGGGAGTTAGAGGTGAGAAGCTGGTGCCCGAGGCTAGTAACTGGGTGAGTCCAGGAACCTGTCTGCCTGGTACAACCTCCACCAGGCCAGATCCACTACTTGCTTGCTCTCTCGTCCTGTATGGGAAGCTTGCTGCCCGCTGCACCTGGTTTTCGAATGTTCACGGACACCATGGGCTCTTGTTAACTTTTTGTTGTTACAGGCTTTTTTTATAAATTTAAATACCAAATAAAGATTTTCATTACACATTTCGGTTCCTTAATTAAATCACGTCTTTGGGAGGTGAAGGTCACATCACCTTTAGGGTATCCCAGACGGAGCCCGGGCGGAGCGTCGCTGTCCTCCTGACGTCACCGCATCGAACCGCACAGAGGGCTTTCCCACCGCGGCAGAAGCGCGGGTACTGCGCAGGCGTGTATGTCGAGAGTCTCGCGAGGCTTAGAGGCGGGTTTTTCTGTGGGAGGGCCGCACTGGACGTGCGGGGTTTGGATCGCTGCAAGGGGCGGAGCTGGAGATGGCGTCCGCGGCGGCTTGCCGGCGGGCCTGGAGAGCAGTCCGACCAGGGGCTGTCTGGAGCGGGCTGGGGGGGAAGAGAGGTGGCGATTTCTCCGTCGTACCGGGCAGCTCAGGTCGCAGCCTGGTACCGTCGAGGTCAGTCATCGTCACTCGCAGCGGCGCCATTTTGCCCAAGCCGGTGAAAGTGAGTGTCTGACTGGAGGCGGGGCGAAGGGATCGAGGCCAGGCACTGGGGGAATGCGTGCTGATTGACAGGCGCGGAGGCCAATCACACACAGTATTGGCATAGACTGGGTTGTGGACCTAGAACACAATTTGCGCAGTGGGGCTGTTGACTTTGACAGGGGGAGGAAAATGCGAGCATAAAGCCCAGTGTTAAGCTGGAAGGCAGCAGCGGAACGTGCACTGTCTTGTCTTGAGGGACGCAATGACCCGTCCTCTAGGGCCAGAAGAAGAGCTTTGTGTCGATATATATGTCATTCAATCTCTGCCTCAGAGGTGATGGGATAAAACAACCCTGAAGAAGTGAGACCGGAATGCGGAAGTAATACACTTAGTAAAAAAGGAAATGAAAAAATATGGAGGGACGCGGAGCAGGTCCTCTTATCCTGAGAAGTGTGCAGGGAACCTTGCAAAAGGGGTTTTACAGATGAATCAGGGCAGAGCCGGCATCCGAAGCTGGTCTTGACAACCAGGGACCACGTCCTGTGTTTTTTTTTTTTTTTTTTTTTTCCAACGCTGAACGCTGTCACTCGACCTCAGTGCCCCTAAGGAAAATGGAAAGTCTCTTGTACCAAAGGGGTGTGCTTTGAGTGCCAGGCTGCGTAGATCTAAAGGGAAAACGAAATCTTTTAGAGGTAGTCTGACCTGTACTAACAGCTGGCCGCAGTTCACAGGAAGAAGCAGAAGGTGCAGTTGCTTTATAAAAAGGCACAGCTAGGGAAACCAGAAAGCAAATACCAGTGAAATGTCACCTGCCTCTCTCTAGCTCATACTGTCTTTTCATGTTTTTAAAGTTTAATGTGATATAGTTTCTCAGGCAGCAGGAACCAGTTACATAAAAAGGAACTGTATGGAAAAAACCCTTCACTGCACACTGTTTTGTAACTCGTTTTTTATGTGTATGGATGTTTTGCCTGCACGTATGTCTGTGCAGCACTTAAGTGCCAGATGCCCACAGAGACCAGAAGAGGGTGTGGTGTTATGGAACTGAAGCTATTTCCTTGTGAGAATTCATGTGGGGGCTGAGACTCAAACCTAGGTCTTCTGGAAGAACAGCTAGTGCTCTTAACCACTGAGCCGTCTCTCCAGCCCCTGAAACTCATGTTCATATCTGTAGAGCTGATCATAGTCTAGCTATCCTAGTGCACTCACCCAATTGTTATGGTTTTTGCAAAGAATTAGCTGGTTGTGCCCTAGTTTTTAGTTGCTTATTTCCCCAAATTTAGTTTAGCTTTATGCTTTTCATTCTGTTATCCATTTTGATGGCCACCAAACTTAACTTTGTTTCTTTGTTGCTCTGAGTTTTTCCAAAGACTTTAAAAATCAGTTGGTGTCTGGATCTGGGATCATTGGAGGAAATGCCCGAGGCCAGTGCTTGAGATCCAGCCACTGGTCCCCTGCGCTCATAGCACGTCTCTCTCTGCAGATGTCCTTTGGTCTTCTCCGTGTGTTCTCCATTGTGGTCCCCTTTCTCTATGTTGGGACACTCATTAGCAAGAACTTTGCCGCTCTACTTGAGGAACATGACATTTTTGTTCCAGAGGATGACGACGATGACGATTAGCAGGTAAGACTTGCCTTTCCTCTAAGTGGACAGGGACAAGAAGTAGGGTGGAGCATCTGATTCAGTCTGACCTGCAGCATTTGGATGCCCAGGGCAGAAGACTCAGTGAGTTCACCCACTTGAGACTTCTTGTCTTTCTCCTATGTTGGATGGGGGTAACTTGACTGACAGCTTCCCTGTTACCTCTTTCAACTAGGTTAAGATCCTAGCTTAGTTGCCCTTGACTTACCTTCATTCAGTCAACTGACATTTTCTTGATGATTTAATGTGCTTTACACTTCTTTTTTTTTTTTTTTTTTACCTTTTGGTTTTTCGAGACACGGTTTCTCTGTGTAGCTTTGCAGACCAGGCTGGCCTCTAACTCACAGAGATCCTCCTGCCTCTGCCTCCCAAGTGCTGGGATTAAAGGCTGCAGGGAATCTGGCAGTAGGATTTTTACAAATGAATCAGGACAGGCCTGTGAAATTGGTGTCTGAAGTTGACAGTGAAGTTAGGTCTTGGCATCCAGGGTTCTTGACCAGGTTAGTGAGGTCAGCAGCTTCATACTGAAATTTAAAAACTGGCAAGGGGTTCGGAGAGATGGCTCAGCTGTTAGCCTTTGCAGAGGACTTGGATTCTATTCCCAACACCTACTTTGGGCAGCTCACAACACCTGTAACTTCAGCTCCAGGGGATCCAACATCCTCTCCTCTTCTAGCTTCTGTGGGCACCCACACACATGGCAAATACACATATAAATATAAGTATTTTTTAAAGGCGACTAGCGGGGTTGGAGAGATGGCTCAGAGGTTAAGAGCACTGACTGCTCTTCCAGAGGTCCTGAATTCAATTCCCAGCAACCACATGGTGGCTCACAACCATCCTTGATGAGATCTGGTGCCCTCTTCTGGTGTGTAGATATACATGGAAGCAGAATGTTGTATACATAATAAATAAATAAAAGATTAAAAAAAAAAAAAAGATGACTAGCAAATCCTCACTGTTGTCAGGTTTGTTTTGTTTGTTTGGATAGCTCACTATTTAGCTCTGTCCTAGAACTCACTATGTAGACCAGGCTGGCTTCAAACTCACAGACTTTATGAGTGCTAAGAGTGCATGCTGTTACTGCTGTTAGTTCTTATTAAATTGTGTACTGTTACAATAAGTCTTTCCTCCAAAGCCACCTGAGCCCTGCCACCATGTGGGGGCTTTCTGCCAGGCCACCTGAGTTCTGCCCACTGCTGTGTTAAGGTACCAAGTAACATACAGAGACTTATATCAGGTACAAATGCTAGGCAATAAGACTTATCTCCTGGAAGACGCCTTCCGCTGGCGTCCTCATCCAGGGATCACATGGTGGCTCAGAGCAGAGAGCAGGAGGAAGGGTGAAAGGGGAGCGACTTCCTTCTTGTCCTCGCTCTAATGAGTCTCCCTGCTATGTCACTTCCTGCCTGGATTACCACTTCTTTACTACATTTCCCAGAATCCTCCTTGACTCCTGGTCCCGCCTAACATGCTGCCTGATTGGTCAAACAGTACTTTATTAATCATCCAATAAGACAAACACATATACAGAAGCACTTCCCCTATCATCTCTTCTTTTCTGTCTAAATAAAAAGAAGGGTAACTTATCTTTTATAATAACTGAAGAAAACTATAACCATAACTATCTGTCTTCAACTCCATCAAAGACTACAGAAGGATAATATATAAAGTCTAGAATTGACAGAGACATCTTGCTACCTGGACAGTCATCCAAAGTTCCTCTGTAATGTTGGGCATCCATCTTCAGCCCATAGGCCATAGTGTGTTTGGCACACTTCTCCATTTCAGCAGGAACCCTTCAGTACTGTTAATCTTGTTTTGTAAGTTCAGCAGTCACTTTCTTATGGGTCTTGCTTGTCCAGTTTATACAGCAAACAAACAAAAGTCCAGGCAATATTAGTTTCTTGCCCAAATGGCTAATTTTGCCATGTTGAAGGCAAACTTCATAATGAGTTTCTTCCATGCCCATCCTCCTTTCTGATGGAATTGGTGTGCCAGGAGCAGTTGTGTCTCACTGTCAAGAAAAACCCTAAACCATTTAAATGTCATATATTCTGTAAGTCTTTGAAAGGTTTGAAGGCTATCTATCCATCTCAAATATATCTCTGTATATCTAGAAAACCTAGCTAACCTAGTTATAATTTTTGAGTATTATAGGTAACTATATAATCTGTATTTAATTATGCATATCATTTTAAAAGACCTGTATAAACACAGCACCTAAACAAGAGAAGACATATACATATCACAAAATTGACCTTAAAGTTGTATCAATAAATGAAAATCCATACCAATGTAAAGTATTCATCTCCATATCCTATTCCCTTTTTTTTCCTTTAAAAGAGATTGACTGTGATCATTACCATTTATAACTAACCCCATTTAAATGAAAACAAATATTTATAAACAATATTTGGGAATTTGGGCATCCTTCATTCCAAACTGCTTCCTGCTGGTTGGAGGCGATGTTATGAGGATCCTGAGAAAACCCAGAAATCCTGACTGTAGTGGTCTATGACTGCTGTCATCTCAGCTGTTTTGGATATAGGATCAGTTGGGCCATTGCTTCAGGGCGTCTTGCTTGATCAAACCATATTAGTCTGAAAGGAATCCACAGCTTTTTATTGTCTATAGAAACACAAAATCTCTTTTCCAAAGTAACCTGTCCTTATACTTAAATTTTGAAGTCAAAGCATTTTTAAAATGTATAAGTTAGATCAATTCAGCAGCACTTATAATCAAATGTATTTTAGCAGCAGTAGTAACTCTTTCCTCAGCAATCAAACAATTTAAAGACAATATAACATATAATCCAGACTCTGTATTTTTCATCTTTACTTGACTTTATATTATTCTATTTCTTTTACTTCCTTTTGTTTCATTTTTCCTGAGACAGTGTTTCTCTGTGGAAATCTGTCTGCCTCTGCCTTTTTTTTTTTTTTTTTTTTTTTTTTTTTTTTGTTTTTTTGGACAGGGTTTTTTTTTTTTTTTTTCCTCGCTTTTCTTGCCCTCCCTCTGGAAACCGGGCGGGCCTGGACCTCGGAGATCCCCCTGCCTCTGCCTCCCGAGTGCTGGGATTAAAGGCGTGCACCACCACACCCAGCTACTATATTTTTTCCTTCCTCTTTTTCTCTCACAAGCCTACATATATTTTTAAATACATTGTAAACCTTTAGAGGTTTTTCTTTATCTGGATCTGTCTTTACTGTAAATCTTTACCTTTTTCTGGCCACCAGTCTTTTAACTGTTAATACCGCCAAAATTAAAGTGGTGGCTTTCTTAGCCAATGTCTTCCAAGGAGCATGCTGCCGGCTTGGAGATGTGGTCACTGCCACCGGCAGCTGCATGGGGCACGAACCCACATCAAAAGTCTCATGCTCTACCGACTGAGCTAACCAGGCCTCTTAAAAGGGAGCCCTGCGGTTTTTTTCACTTAGGCTGAGTCAGAAAACCTCTCTTAAAGGAACCGAGTCTCTGCTTGTCTCTAGCAAAACAGAGACCACCCGAGAAAATGCTAATAAGAAGTCATGCTTGTCTCTGTTCTTTTGCTGCTAAAATCCCCTTTTAAGCTTTTGTGAAGTTTACATGGAAGGAAGTTCGTAACACTACCACCAGCTGCCTGGGTTCTGTCGCTGTTTGACTAGTGCACGATCTATCTGATCCAGTGTCCTGCTCACAACCTTTTGCTGCAGGGCTCCCAGTGCTCTTCCCATTCAGCTCTCCTGTGTTGATTTCCTGTGTTGTAATGTGTGCCATGTGACTAGACTATCACAGGCAAAGACACTCCTGTTCTCTGCCTGGCATTCCTCTTGTGATCTGGTCATACCCCTTAGGCCATTTTTATCTTCCATATTCCCATCCATAGGAGGAAGTAACCTTAAGAGGGCCATGTCTTCTGTGGCCATGCCAGAGTGGGCTCTCTGCAGGAGTCATCATTTTATTTTATTACTAATATTTTAACACAACTTATGTGTCTATGTGTATGAATACAATACTTATAGAGGCCAGGAGACTAAGGTCCCTTGGAGCTGGAGTTACAGGTAGCTGTGAACCATTTCTTGTGGAACTGAACTCTGGTCTTCTGCCAGATCAGTATGTGCTCTGAGCATATGAGCCATCTCTCCAGCCCTGGAGTCATTTGAGCTGTCCTCATTCTTTTATTTATTTATTTATTTATTTATTTATTTATATTTCATTTTTTATTAAATTTGTAATAAAGGAGGTAGCAAGGGGTGGAAAGGAGACATTTAGAGTCAAAACTCATTAGACAGTGGGGAGGGGAAAATTAAATTAAATCAGTAAGTGGAGGAGTCAGGGAAAGCCCACCTTTAAACATCGAATCAAGAAATCTGGGTGGGGGGAGGGGGAGCAAAGGATGGGGCAAAGGAAAACTGGGCACCTGTCTTTAGTCTGTTCTCCTTCAGGGGGGGGAATGACTGCTACTGGGCCAGCAGCACAGAGCACCAGGCACTCCCATCGGAGGCAGACTGGTCACTGGTCACTCCTTCCCATGACCTCCTGAAGGAGGCCTTAGCTAACAGACATAGGTCATGGGAGTGAGGGGGTGGTCCAAAAGCAAGGAGGGACCAGCAGGGGCCCCCAATACTGATTCTCCTCTAGATAGAGGTGGGCAGGGGGAGACACAGTTCAAATACTGAGCAGCCAGAAAAAGAAGATGGGGAGAAACAGGAAGAGGGAGTCTTGCCAGTTGGAGGTCAGGTGACCCTGTCCCAGATCCACACCTGCACCCCTTCTGAAAAGCATATGGGCATTGAACATGGTGGTGAAAAAGCCAAAGGGAAAAGCACCAACACCAAATGAGAAGTGGAACCCCCCTCTGCTCTCCGGAGCTGGTCACAGGCCCTGAGGGCGGGGTGGAGTTTTTAATCTGGGATCCTGGGGCTTCTGGCTCCCTGCTTTACTTTGTCTCCAGTCACTGATGAAGACAGGGCCTACAATACAGGTGGTCACACACGCTGACTGATGCTTGCCTTTCTTACAGGTCATGGAGGAAGAACAGAAAGGAGAAAGCACTAATGGATGAAGTGGTGGCACCCTTAGCTCTGTCCCTATTGGCAGAAGGGTCAGGGAAAGCCCTCAGCCTCATCTCCTCACGGTTTGTGACAACAGCCCAGAATCCTGTGCTTTGGGAGGTTCCCTCAAATATCCTGTCCACAGAGCACTGGAAATAACAAGCAAGCAAGCAAACTATGAGTAACATAATAAATATGAGCTGTGTGTGACTGAAAGGCTGTTTCTATTTCTCACTCCCAGCAGCCTCAGCTGCACTTTGTTGTCATTCTGAAGCATCTTATTAAGAGCCAGGACATCCAGGCTGTTACACAACCACAGACATCGTCAAGGGGGAGTGAGAGCTTTGTTCTTCTAATTATTTCTAATTGTGTATCTGTTTGTGGGTGTTCTTGGAGGCCAAAGGTATATATGACCCTCCTTGCCTCATGTGGGTGTTGTGAACCAATTCTGGTCCTCTGCAAGAACAGCAGTGAGTGCTCTTAACCATGGATAGTCTGTCCATTCTGAGACTTTATTTTATTTTTTGCTTTATAAAAGTCCAGCAGAAAGTTCCCTCAAAGCCACTTAGGCTAATTGAAGCCTTAAGCCTGGAGGGGTTGCCATGTGCCAAATATGTGGGGTTTTGTTATTGCTTAGTAGTTAAATACTTTGTGAAACTTGGGCTCCTGGGGGGATCTCTGATGATTAGGGGTCACTCAGTAATTATATGTAAAGACTGAGTACCTTTTTCCAGCATTCAGGACTGTGCAGGGAAGGAGGCAGAAGCAAGAACATTGGTAGTTCAAGGTCATCCCTGGCTATAGCGTGAGTATGGGGCTATCCTTGGCTACATGAGATCCTGTTTGAAAAAAAAGTACCGAAGTAGTAGGATGATTCTGTTTTCTGTTTGCATTGAATGGTTGTGCCCCTGCACAATGAGTAGGGAGTTGATTTCATTTTAAGGACCAGTGCTTCTAAGTAGAAGGTCTAGGCCTTGGAACAGCCATTTTTTAGGGGGAAATAGATCATCTTGTCTGTCCTACTGCTATGCCCAGAGTGGCTCTGTTTCCTGATAGGAAGAGCTTGACACCAAGATGCCCAATCTTGGAAATACAACTACAATAACGTAAGTAAGTACATAATAAGTACAACTACAAAAAGTCACCCAGCTTCTTATCTACTGTGACAGACTGTGGACAGGTAAGAAGCCTTTTCCCTTACCTGTATCAGGTAAGGATCTGATACAGTTGACAGCAAGCACCATATTCCAGGAAAAAGGAATAAACATGGTATGTACACTAAGGCCCCACATAGTTAGGCAAGAAGTGAGAGACCACAGGAAATGGGTTCACCAGTGCAAGTTTATCACAAAGCAACCATCAAATAATGAGTTTATTTGTACTCTAAAATAATTAAATATTAACATGCACCTTCCCATTGGGTGACCTCATGGGTCATGCCCAACATAGAACTTGGACAGGAAGTCCTTTGGCCTCGGTGTTTCTGTTTCATGGAAGAACCGCATAATGTGTGTCCGCTGCTTCCACACATGGATGGTTTCCTGGAGCTCCATCTTTCCCTGTGCATGTGAAGGGAAGGTAGTCAGTTCAAGCCACCAAATGAAGAGCACAGCACTAAAGTTCAGTTCTCTTACTTGGTGTGGACTAGTTAATGACCTTGGGTAATATTTCTGCATTTGGAGGGCAGTGGGACTCAGTGACCTGAGGCCTTTCAAACAGAGGTAACTAACAGGTTCCAGGAGGAGACTCCAGGGCCCCAGGACTGTGCAACACGATTGGTTCATGTTTTTTTTTTTAAATATTTTTATTTATTATGTATACAACATTCTGCTTCCATGTATATCTGCACACCAGAAGAGGGCACCAGATCTCATAATGGATGGTTGTGAGCCACCATGTGGTTGCTGGGAATTGAACTCAGGACCTCTGGAAGAGCAGTCAGTGCTCTTAACCTCTGAGCCATCTCTCCAGCCCCTAACTTCATGTTTTTATGTGACAGTTCAGTGGTATTGACTGGTCTGCCATGAAGCTACTACTGATGGAACATGACTGGCCACAATCTGTCCTCATTTGTACCACACCCAAAGCCATCCCACCTTCCTCTTCTGGTGGTTGGCATACAGGTGAGACAGTGGCTTGCAACTTGCAGGGGTGGCATCCTTCCTGCTTCCCATTGTTAAAGTCACAAAATGCAAGGCCCTGGTGGATTTCCCCTCCAGCAATATCATAAGCTTATTTGGGGGCTGAGGCAAGAGGCTGTCTGATTCTAGCCCAGGCTACATAACGAGTGTGTATATCTCTCAAAAGTGGAGGTCCCCATGCCTTTAGTTCTGGCACTGGGGAGGCAGAGGAAGGCACATCTCAGGGCCAGCCAGAGCTACATAGTAAGACCCTGGCTTTACACATAAATGGTGACCTCCAGTTGAACTAGGAACCAGCAACAGCTGCTAAGTCAGCAGCTGTCTTTTTTTTGTTTGTTTGTTTTGGAGAAGGTTTGAGACAGGGTTTCTTTGTGTAGCCCTAGCTGTCCTGGACTTCACTCTGTAGACCAGGCTGGCCCTAAACTCAGAGATTGCCTGCTTCTGCCTCTCGAGTGCTGGGGTTAAAGGTGTGTGCCACCAATGCCCAGCAGCAGCTGTTTTTTTTAATGGAAGCGGTATTCACTTGAAGACTTAGAAGCACGAGACAAGTTGGCGGATCTTTTTTTAAGTTCATCAGAGAGGATCAGTTACCTTAATGACCAGGAGATCAACTACTCTGGGGTCTGTGACATGAGCATTCTTCATGAACATTTCTCGGACTTTATCCCGTCCCTGTTTCACGGTGATGTCCAGCTGGAATAAGTGCACTAAAGAGAAAACATGATAATTCTGTAGAAATTAAGACCATTTAGACATGTTTTTAGGTGCTTATCAGTGGAATTTCACTGAACATGTACAAATGGCTCCCACATAGTCCAACCCTCAGTCTGGAGACACGGGTTATGCTAAATCGCCCAGTCTGGAGCTCAATGCTCTTGACTCAGCCTCTGGAGAAGCTGGGAGTACAGGTGTGCCTGTGTGCTTTTTGTATGTATGGGAGGGATTGGGACAGAATCTAGGGCCTTTCCCATGTTAGGCAAGGGCCCTATCACTGAGGAATATCCCTTCTGTATTATTTTTATATGGAATAACCGACAAAATAAGATGCCAGAGCTGAAATTTTTATCAAACAATGTAGTGTAGTTTTTAAGTAGTACATGAATTTGAGAGCCAAGAGATATTGCTAAGGGTTTGTGCAGGGAGGGAAATTTTTATTCAAATAATTGGACTATCTGGAAGGAGAGACTTGAGACAGTCATCTATGACTGTAAATGAGATATTCAGCTTTGCCATAAACTGCTGACACCATGGAGCCATGACCCCCCCCCCCATATAATGGACTGAAATGGCAAAATAAACCTTTCCCTTAAAAGGGGGGATGGGGTGGTGGAGGGGGGGGGTCACCTGGAGAGGTGACCCAGCTGTTAAGAGCATATACTGCTTTGAGTTCCAATTCCAAGCACCCACATCAGTCAACTCAAAAACACCTGTAACTCCAGCTTCAGGGAATCCATGCCTGTGGCCTCTGCCAACACTTGCATTTACCTGTACCCATGCACACAGACATAGAAACATACATAAAATTTATCACAACACTCAGCAACCCATCTTGTCATGGTGACTGAACTTAATGTGCCGGTAAACTGGACTTACTGAGTGGTAACATGCCTGTAAACCCAGCCTTCAAGTTGGAGGTTAGCCTAGGCCTATCTGGTACCAGAGATACACAGATCTTGATTCACAAGAAAATCAGGTTTTAGCCGCTTTCATCCCCTGACACGAAGTCTTTAGATTTGCTGATGTCATCAAGAATACAAAAGGATTGGTGTTAGATAGAAGGGCAGGGTGATCGAGGTATACAAGGTTAGAAACAGACTACCAAGGGTTTACAGACATTATGGCTAAGGAGATCAGTACATTCAGTTGATTGAGGATACCCTGTGCTTTGGCCATTCTTGTGACATGTCCACTCTGATCTATAGAACTGCCTCAACCAGCCAGCAATGGTGGCACATGCCTGTAATCCCAGCATTGGGAACTCAGGCTGATGGATCAAAGGTTTGAGGCAAAATCCTAACAAAAACAAAAACAAGGCCAGTGTGGTGGCTCACAGAGGCAGATGGATCTCTGTGGGTGTAAAGCTTGCCTGGTCTACATTAGCAAGTTCCAGGCCAGCCAAGGCTACAAAGTGAGACCCTGTTTCAGAAAAAAACAACAAAAAGTCACAAAACCCCAAAACCCCCCAAAATAACACCTCAAAACAATCTCTGGAAACCATTAATTAGGGTCACGTTGTGCTTAAATCAAGTTTGAGTTTCATTAAACTCAAGTGATCATAGAAATGATAAACACTACAAATTTAGATGTTCAGAGAGCTGGTCAGTATATGCATAGGGATTTCAGAAAAGAACAAAAAAAGGGACTGTGAGAATGCAAAGACACCAAAACAAATACACAGTGATAACAGAACCTGGATTTTAGAATCTTACAACTTGTGAAGCATCAGACCTAGAGACACTGAGGCACTCAATGTTGTATAGCTGCTCTCAGGTAAACGTGGACCTGAGAGTGTTTTTGGTGTTTCACTCTAGTCTGTTCTAAGAACTATGAGGGATTCCCCATCCTGCCCCTCAATCAGTGCCTTCCCCAATTTACATCAATTACCATAGTAACCTATTTAACATAGTAACTCCCTGAAGAAGGCAGTATTATGCTCATTTCAAAGAAGAGCAAACAGCACAAATGGAAAATCTTACCCAAGTTCACACAGCTAATAAAGGGCAGAACCTTAGGAAAGTGCTGCTGCCTCTCAACAGCTCTGAGGTGGGCCATGGTGCTGTCTGTCACCCACTGGAAAATGCCTTCCCCTTCAGATCAGCCGGGATGGTCCAAGTTAAATAAAGCAACAACTGTCTTTCACCCCCGTTTAAAATCCAGTACAGTGGCAGCACTGAGGGAGATGTCAAGGCAACAGTCTGCATTCAAGGACCAACATCACGTGAACAGATTAGATTCTCCGCCATCTAAGGGTAAAGAAGTGTTGTGTGTCACAGGGATTAGACTTCAAAATACTAGAGCAAGGGGGCTTAGAGAGCAAAGCTGGGGAGACTTGAGAGGCCATTTCACCTGGAGCCTTCAAAAGGCACCAGGAAGCTACTGGATGACCTTGGCCAAGTCGTTCACTTCTATGGTCGTTTGTTTTTCCAGAATGGGGAATGGATAACTGCAAGTCCTTCGCCAGTTTGGTTACAAAATCCAATGGGGACCTGGAACATTTTCTGGAACTGGAAGTTGACCCTGGGTTCCAGAAGCTCCCGGGTCTAGCTCTGGACTCCGGATGCGTCAATTCTCCTCTCGGTGTCCTCAGCTACAACAAGTTAAGAGTCACTCACAGTCCCTGCTCTCCCCTCCTAGGGGCTTGGTAACAAATACAGAAACAAAAGGTCGCTCGGAAGCTCTGTCCTGGTGTGAGGTACTTCTGCCTCGTATGACCCTCTTCCCCCGAAGCCCAGGAGTCGTTTCTGCCCTAGCTGGTGACCTCAGCTCGGCCGTGAGACCTTGGGCAGGGGCCTCAGGGCCCCGGATGCATCTCTGCTTCTCACCAGTGTTCGGCACCTCCCGATACCAAGCGCGGTAGAGCTCGCGCACCCTCCGCTTGGCCTCGTTCAGGTCGCGACTGAAAATGGGCTTCACCGAGGTGCTGCCTGCCGCAGCAGCCTGCCGCAAGCCGCTGGCCGCCATCTTGCCGAGGAAACCCCGCCCCCTCAGCGCGCGCGCGCCGTGCCGCTGACGCGACTCCCCGCCTTCTGCGGTACGAGTGGGCGGATTGGCTGGACAAAGACCGGCTTTGAGAAGCGCATGCTCCTCCGCGGAAACGCAGACCAGTGGTTGGGGAGTTCTGTGGTGGCGCCGAGGGTCTCACGGAGCCACTAGGGGGCGCAGCGTTGAGGCTTCTGTCTAAAGCGCGACCACCGCGCCTTGTCAAAAGTTTGTTCTTGACGGGCGTTGGTGGCGCACACCTTTAATCCCAGCACTTGGGAGGCAGAGGCAGGTGGATCTCTCTGAGTTCGAGGCCAGCCTGGTCTACAGAGCGAGTGCCAGGATAGGCTCCAAAGCCACACAGAGAAACCCTGTCTCGGAAAACCCAAAAAAAAAAAAAAAAAAAAAAAAAGTTGTTCCTTCAGCCCCGAGGGCGGCAGGCTGGGAGGAGAGGACCACCGAGGCAGATAATGCGGCCTTTCTTTCCGCAGTGACAGTATATACTGCTGTGTATATTGTGTATGTGTTTCCGAAAAACCGTTTCTTCCAGACAGCAAAAGCTCCATCTGGCTTCCCCTTTCTGGGGTTTCTCAGCCCCGGGAGGCAGATTATCGTAATACCTCCATTTCTCTTTATTTTTCTATTTTTAAAAATTTACTTATTGTTATTGCTTTTCATTGTTGTCTGATTGGAACTCGCTATATAGACCAGCTGGTCTCAGAGCTTGCAGTGACTTCTCTGCCTCTGCTCACTGCACCTGGCTGTGGTTCCCCGCCCCCCCCCCCGCTTTTCTCTTTTAAAACTTTTTAAAAAATATGTACGAGTGTTTTGCATGCTGTTATGTCTGTGTGTTTTTGGTGCCGGCGGAGGCCAGAAGAAGGTGATGTATTCCCCTGGAACGTCACAGTTGTGAGATATTTTATGGAGTTGGGAATTAAACCCAGATCCTCTTGAAGAGCAGCTAGAGTGCTTAACCGCTGAGCCATCATCTCTCTAGCCCCTGTGGGTACAGTTTTGAAACAGGAACTCTCTATGTAGCCAGGTTGGCTTACACTCCTGATTCCTGCTGCCTCAACCTCCTTAGTGGTGGGTGCCATTACACCTAACCTAATCATCTCCGATTTAGACAAGCAATTTTCCATCCCAAACGGTGGAAGCTGGAAGGCCCCTGAGTACTCTGGCACTAAGGTTATCACTGGGTATCCACGTGTAAAGAAAAAAAAAAAAAACTGCTACCATGACAAGCAGTGCCCTAAATGCTTAATGTAGTTTAACCTCATAGCATAGGTAGGTATTGTTTGCATTCCTATTTTCCAGGCAAGGAAACAGTACAGAATCTCAGTCACTTGCCACATTAGATCATCTCTCTGCCTGATTCCTGACTAGAAGCCACTGTCTTTTCCTGAAGTTCAGTTGACAGGGACTTTGAAAGTATTGATGAAGGGACAAGGGACAATGATTGAGTAGATGAGTGCTGACCTTGCTGTGTGACTCCAGTTGGTGTAGGGATGGCCCTATATCACTTGGTCTTTATCCTGTCAAGGGTTAGTAGATATTTTCCCATTTAATATTTTGGAAACAAATTTGTATTATATATATATATATATATATATATATATATATATATTTTATATTGTGTGTGTGTGTGTGTGTGTGTGTGTGTGTGTGTGTGTGTGTGTCAGAAGACAACTTTCAAGAGTTTTCCATGTGGTCCCAGGGATTGAATTCAGGTCATCAGGCTTGGTGGCAAATACCTTTACCCATAGAGTTATCCTATCAGCCTGTATTTGTATATTTTCATGGGTATACAATCGTTACATACAGGAACTGGAAGAGATAGTTCAGTCAGCAGAGGGCTTGTTATGTGTCTCAGTTAGGGTTTCTATTGCTGCAATGAAACACCATGACCAAAAGGCAAGTTGTGAGGAAAGGGTTTATTCAGCTTACACTTCTAATTGCTGTTTATCACCAAAGAAAGTCAGGACAGGACCTCAAGCAGGACAGAAACCTGGAGGCAAGAGCTGGTGCAGATGCCAGGGAGGAGTGCTGTTTACTGGCTTGCTTTCATATAGAATCCAGGACCACCAGCCAAGGGATGCCTCCACACACCATGGGCTGGGCTCTCTCTCATTGATCACTAATTTTAAAAATGCCTTATTGACCAGGATGTAAAATAAATAGATGAATAAAAAATACCTTGCAAGTGGATCTCATGGAGGCATTTTCTCAATTGAGGCTCCTTCTGCTCTGATGACTAGCTTGTGTCAAGCTGATATAAAACCAGCTAGTACACTTTGCAAGCATGAGGATCTGATTTGATCCGTGGGGGTTTGATTGTAGCCAAATCAAGAAGTCTTAGGTCCCAGTGAGGGATCCTATTTCAAAAAAAGGTTGATGGTGCCTTAAAAAAAGGTGGATGGCTCCCAAGGAAGGACATCAGAGATTGACCTTTGCCTTCATGCATACCCTCATTTACACAAACATACACACAAAATTATACAGCAATGTTCTATATATACAACTGTAATTCTATGCTTTATAATAGAGCTGAAGAATTATTGCCTAATGGCATTATAATAGAGTAACTGCACCATGCATTATGGATGTCTTTGTGGTGATGTAAACAAACTTATAGTACTTCCAGTCAAAGTACAACATGCCCAATTATGCTCAGCACACAGCATTTAATAATTATTGTTTTGTATATTCACTAATTGTCCTAGTTACAGTTCTGTTGCTGTGAGGACACCATGACCAAGAAAGCATTTAATAGGGTGGCTTACATACAATTTTAGGGAGTTAAGTTCATGGCCATCATGGCAGGGAGCATGGCAGTAGGTAGACAGACTGGCATGGTGTTGAAGCAGTAGCTGAGAGGACCTCTGGAAGAGCAGCCGGGGCTCTTAACCTCTGAGCCATCTCTCCGGCCCGAGAGCTTATATCTTATCTGCAAGTTGGAGGCAGGGAGAGACTGGGTCTGGCCTGGGATTTTGAAACCTCAAAACCTACCTTTAGTGGCACATCTTTTCCAACAAGGGTCACATCTACTCCAACAAGGCCACACTTCCTAATCCTTCCCAGAACAGTTCTACCAACTAAGGACCTAGCATTCAAATATGTGAGCCTATGGGGCCAAGCCACAACATTGCTGATGGTGTTTGTTTTATAATTTTTTCTTTTCTCTCTCCTCCTTTATTTTTTAACCTGGCTAACTTGTAACTTTCTGAATAGTCCCATTTTGGATGGTTCACAAACCACTGTAACTCAATTCTAACTCTAGGGGATCCAGCACCCTTTTCTGGTCTCTATTTAGCATCTGAGCATATGTGGCACGCGCGCGCGCGCACACACACACACACACACACACACACACACACACACACACACACACACACAGTCTTTAAAATTTATCAATTGTGCTTGCCTTGGCAGCTCATAAGGTAAAATTGGAATGATGCAGAGAATACTAACATGGTCACTGCACAAGGATGATACACAAGTTTCTGAAGCATTTTATATTTTTACAAAAGTGACCTCAGAAATTATAAAGGATAATCATGTTATAATACACAGACCCAGAGATACTAAATAAATAACAAGGAAGGCTCAAGGAGGGACACATGGATCTCCCGGGGAAGGAGAAATAGAATAGATTTCGAGGGTGGACTGGGGGCAGGTGGGGATCCAACAGGAGGGATTAGGTGGGGGGTGGTGAAGGGAGAGAGTACTGGGAGTGACAACTGGAATTGGGGGCATTTCAAGGATGAGGTAGAAGCCTAGTGCAATGGAAACTCCAGGAATCCATGAGGGTGATCCTAGGAAAGACTCCTAGTAATGGGGGATACAGAGCCTGAACTGGCCATCTTCTTTAACCAGGAAAGATTTCCAATGGAAGGATTGCAACAACAATCCAGCCGCAAAACCTTCCACCCTGCAAGGTGTGCTGGGGTAAAGGTGGCACAGAACTAGTGGGAATGACCAACCAATGACTAGTCAAACTTGAGAGCCATGCCATGACGGAAGGACCAGGAACCAGAGTCTTAGCCCAGAGATCTAGGATAGAACCAAACACAACAAGCAAAAAAAAAAAAAAAAAAATCAATGTAATGATTCCTAATGATACTCTGCTATACTTATAGACTAGAGTCTAGCATGCTTTTCCTCAGAGAGGTTCATCCAGCAACTAATGGAAGCAGATGCAGAGACCTACAGCCAAATATTAGGTGAAGCTCAGGAAATCCTGCTGAAGAGAGCTAGGAAGGATTGTAGGAGCTAGAGGGGTCAATGACACCACAAGAAAATGTCCCATAGAATCAACTAATTGGGGCTCATAGGGGCTCATAGAGACTGAAGCCTGTAATGGATCTGACCTAGGTACTCTGCATATATGTTATAGTTGTGTAGCTTGGTGTTCTTGTGGAACCACTAGCAGTGGGAATTCGGGCTGTCTCTGACTCTTTTGCCTGCTTTTGGGGCCCTTTTCCTCTTCCTGGGCTGCCTCATCCAGTCTTAATATTTAAGGATGTGCCTAGTCTTATTAGAACTTAATATGCCATGTTTGGTTGATTTTTCTGAAGGGAAAGGAGGAGTGGATCTAGGGAAGAGGGGAGTTGGGGAAGGGACTAGGAGGTGAGGAGGGAGGGGAAACTGTGGTTGGGATGTAATATATGAGAAAAGAATGAATAAAAAAGAAAAAAAATTACCAAGACTTGCTTTAAGGTCCAAAAATATAGTCTCTGCTGTCTTGATAAGTATTCCTTGTGCATATAAACCAAGACATCCTTTGGTTTTAGCCATCTATAGGTACATAATTATGATTCAGCTACCTTTATGGGGTTTGGAGGAGGCAGAAAATACTGTCATGGATCATGTCCACCCACCTGAGACCACTGAGCACCTCAAGGGCAGCATCTGTGTCCTTTCTATCTCCTTAGCACCTTGATTTGCCCAACATGGAAGCTCATGTGGTTGGATAAATAGACGGCTCTAAGACGCTGTTAGGTTCTGTCCAGAAGATAGGCTGCTTGGGTCTTAAGCATTTCCATGTCTTTGTGTTCCTTCAGGACTTCACATGAAGCTCACGTGTTGTTCTTCCTCACTTGTCATTGATGGCATTGAATTGAACCAAGGGAATACCAATAAGGGTGCTATATCTGACTGGGGGGGCAGACTTAAAACCACCTTGAGGCAATTGGCATGAAGCTCTTCCTAAGTATGGAGGGGTTGTCTGTCACGAAGCCGTCTATACCATGATATCACACTTAGATGGTTGCTTGATTTTTCTGTCCTGCCAGGTCCCGACACCCTTCTCAGCCCCAAATAAATACACAAGGACTTGTATTAATTATTAAACTGTTGTCCAATGGCTAGGGCTTCTTATTGGCTAACTCTGTCTAAATTTTTAACCCATTTCTATTAATCTATGTATTTCCACGTGGTCTTGGCTTACTAGAGAAAGCCCAGACCTGTATTTCCTTTGGCGGCTACATCATCTCTCCATGTGGTGCCTCTCTGCCTCTCTCCCCAGCATTCTCCTTGTCTCCTAGCCCTGCCTGTCTTCCTGCCTCTACTGGCTATTTTTATTCATCAACCAATAAGAGAAACATATATACAGAAGGACATCCCCCATCATTAGATGCCTCATCCTCCCTGCAAAAGGAGGGCCTGTATATCAGACTCCCAGGCCACTAGCACTCTTCTCAGGCTTTGTCCTGGCTGCCTGGACAGATACAAAGAAATCTACAGATCACTGACCATCATCCAGATGGGCATGTTTGGTAAGGAGGCTTGGGAGGTGTTCTCGTTAACGCACCCAACCTAGTGAACAGGAGCTTTAGGGCCCAGCCTTGCCCTTTCTGCTTGCTTTCCTTCTTGGCTATGCCCTTCTGCCTCTTATCTTCTTCCTTACAACTGCTTCTCTTTCCTTTTGTCTTCTTAGCTTTGTTGCAGAATGAGCTTGGTAGTTTCATTGACCCTGAATTATAAATGACTAATAGAACTCAGAGCGATGGTAGAGCATTCTGAGGAAGATGCAGTAGCTTTGCTTTGAAATGCTAACCAGGTGTGCAGGCAGCAGGCATGAACCTCAGAACCATGCAATCAGTCATGACGTCATTGAGCTCCCGTTCTGTCTCAGGCACGAGGCTAATTACTAGGCACTGACAATGGCTTCTCTAATGAGAGGACGCCTTATTTGGGGGACAGTAGCACTAAGGAAGTCAGGACAGTAAGCATTTTGCAAACACTATGAAAGCAGATTATAGGTAGGTAATGGAAAGAGGACCTTGAGTTTGAGGCAATATAGTGAGTTTTAGGCTAGCCTAGGCTACATATTGAGACTGTCTAAATAAGTAAATAAATATTAAAATAGAGGACAGTGTTAGACCCCCGAAAACTCAAGTATCCGGGGTCCCAGGCCACGTTCGCGGTCACCCCAATCACCAGGCAGATTCGAGAGCTTGCTGCAAACTGCACGAGGCTTTATTGTAATTTAACGAGCTAACCCCATGTTAGCTCGGGTCTTTCACCCACCGGCCATGGTGGATGGCCAGAAAAGACGGCTCCTAGGGGCTCCCAAAAGATCTTATAGGGCAGTGTAAGGGGAGTTTCTAGGGGTACGCACAGGCTTACGATTGGTGTGCCTCCAGGCTTGGAGGACTTGCCCTGTGTTGATTGGTCAACTGGTTGTTATGGCCCATAGGCCCTCCCAGGGTGGTTGCTATGCTCTCTA